GAAAGAACTGGAGAAAATCACAAAATACAAAGACCTGCAAATAGAAATAGAATGACTGTGGTAAAAGAAAGCAAAGATGGTACCAATAGCAATAGGCACCTTGGGTGCAATCCCAAAACATCTGGAGCACCACTTGAACACCATCGGTATTGGCAAAATCACCATCAGTCAATTGCAAAAGGCAGCTTTACTTGGAACAGCTTACATCCCGCAACGATACCTTTAACATCATCAGGCAACAACATCTGCCTATGCCAGGTCCTCGGGAAGGACTCGATAGGTAGATAAAAATGCCAGATCCAGTCTAAATATCTGATTGACTGTGTGACCACCAATAATAATAGCTTTTTTAAAAAGGGGGGACATTGCAAAGCCTTAACCTCTTTTGTTTTAACTATATCCTATACATACTGAATATTTTAATGCTAATTACACTACTTATATGTAGTTTATTAAATGTACATATTAATATTACAGGTATTTATTTCATTCAAATGTCTCCTTGCCTTTTCCTTGTTTTTCTTCTTCAGATTATCGGTTTCTAGAAGATGTGGGAAGACTGGCTGATCGGTCTGCCCGAGATGCTATTTCTCATAAACCAAAAAGCAATCGATTTGTAAGTGTTCTACAAAAATTAAATCTTTTATGCATTACATTTTTTAAACTAGAGAAAAAAAGATGGGATTGGAAACTTAAATCATGAAAACAGATAATCATGGAAGTTGTCATGATATTCAGTGGGTGCCTGTTAATCCTGAAACAGATACATTGGACATTTGAAGATTGTTTTTAAGGAAGTTTTAGGACACAGATTTTCATCTAAACTGAGTTTGACTTTGAGTTTAGCACCTGTTTAACCTCAGGAAAATGATTGTTGTGCTGTGGCAATTCTTTTTTTTATATATTAAAACTTTTATTATGATATATAAAAAGCACAGTTAAAATACAAATCGAGAGGTATAGCAAAGAAAGAACTAAAAGAAAAAGACAAAGAACTAAAATAGTGAAAATATATAGAAAGATAAAACAGAAAATGACTTCTTACTATCTCCAGTACCTCCAGTATCTCCAATTTTAAAAAAAGTTAATCTTTTATCATTATGTAATCCAAATTCACATTATTTCTGTCAGCACAAACCATCTAACCATTAAATCCCACAATCAAAGCTTCATTTTATTCCCACTCAAGCACGTAATCTAAGAAGGGTTGCCATGAGGAAACAAATTTAGAAACAGTATATCTCTTATTAATGCTGTTAATTTCACCATTTGGGCCAAGTCCATTAATTTGATAATCCATTCTTCCACTGTAGGTATTTGTGAATCCTTCCATCTTTGCACATACAACAGTCTTGCAGCTGTGATCATATATAAAAGCAAAGTTCCATGTGGTTTCTCCAGTCCTTTCTCCATCAAACCCAATAGGAACAGTTCTGGGTTTTTTTGAATGCTCACTTTAAGAATCTTTTGAATAACAATACATATCTGATCCCAAAATTTTGTAGCCTTTTTACAAGTCCACCAGAGATGGTAAAAGGTTCCTTCTCCCTGCGAACATTTCCAACAAATATTTGTTATACCAATATACATTTTTGATAACTTATCAGGAGTTAAATACCAATGATACATCATTTTATAAAAATTTTCTTTTAAATTATAATTCACCGTAAATTTCAAACGTTTGTTCCACATATTTTCCCATTGTTCCAAAATGATATTATATCTGAAGTTTTTAGCCCATTTAATCAGACATTCCTTGACTTGTTCATCTTCTAGATTAATCTGTAATAGCATCTTACACATTTTAGCAATAATACGTTCATCATTTGTACAAAGTTGAGTCTCAAAATAAAATATTTCATTAGCAAATCTATAATTCTTTTTGTCCAGCTTAAAACATTCAAACAATTGCATATGAGTAAACCAGTGACGTATAAAACCTTCTGATTCTAACTGTTCTCTTGTTTCAAAACTTGGTTCATCCTCCTTGAAATGTAACAAGTCTTTATATTTAACCACTTCATTTCTCCCACATTTTCTCTTCC